CACTGTCCACCATCAAGATAAGCCAGGTCAGCAGATTGAGGTATCCCCTTCCAGTGTTCTCTGTTCTCATATCCTTTTATGGAGCTGTCTAAATCCATGTACAAACACAGCAAAGTTACTCCCAGCCCTCTAGTGCTGGCTGGGCTTCCAATGTGAGGTCCAGTCACATGGGACATTAATGTTCACCTATGTTTCTTTTAAGGCAATGCCCAAGTTTCATGAAATAATTTTAGGGGAATTGAATGTGAGCAACTCAGTATTATGTAACTAATAGCATTCAGCTGCAATGGCAATTACTCATTGGACCAAGCCTCCTGGCCTGTCGTCTGGCAGTAGACAGAAGTAGTACAGCAGTAGCAGTGAGCTGGTGATGAGTTGCAGCGGCCTACATAGTATGGATAGAACACTGTGAGTCAGGAATCTGAAAGTCCAAAGTTCAGATCAAGAATATGTGGTTTTCAGCAGTTTATTTGAGCCTTCAAAGTAAGTGGAAGAATGTTGATTCAATGAATTGACATATTCTAGAGACTTTTTTTTAACAAGGACAAGCTCTTGCCCCAAGATTGCAGAGATAATTGTGCAGAGCTCAACCTGCACCCTTGTCTATGTTGTTGTTGTTGTTATGTGCCATCGAGTCGCTTGTGACACATAGCGACCCTATGTACAAGAGCCCTAAACTCTGCTCTGTCCTGTGCCAATCGCACCATGTCCAATACACCCATCACAATTACCCCAGTCACTGAATCAATCCGCCTCATAGAGTGCCTTCCCCTCCTGTGCTGTCCCTCCACTCTACCAAACATGATGTCACTATCCAAGGACCAGTCCCTCCTTACAACATGTCCAAAGTATGTTCAATGGAGCCTCAGAATCCTTGCCTCCAAGGAGCAACCCAGTTTTACCCTTTCCAGGATGAATCTGTTTGTTTTCCTAGCAGTTCATGGTACCCTCAATACTCTTTTCCAGCGCCAAAGCTCAAAGTCATCAATTGTCCTTCTATCCTGCTTAGTCCTTGCCCAACTCTCTGATGCATAACAAGTGATTGCAAAGACCGTGGCCTGTATCAGATGCACCTTAGTCTCCAGGGTGACACCATTACTCTTCAGTACTTTAGGGAGGCCCCTAACAGCAGACTATCCCATCAATTTTAATTTCCTGGCTGCTGGTGCTGAGAGCGTTGACTGTGGAGCCAAGCAAACTAAAGCTGTGAACAATCTCAATCTCTTCACCATCCACCCTGATGCTGCCAGTTGGCCCAGTGGTGAGAATCTTTGTCTTTTTGACATTGAGCCTCAATCCATATTGGAGTCTGCAGTCCTTGACCCTCTGCAGCAAGCGCTTCAGGTCCTCCTCAATTTCAGCAAGCAGGGTTCTGTCATCTACATATCGCAGATTGTTGATAGATCTTCCACCAATCTTGACCCCACATTCCTCCTCATAGAACCCAGCCTCCTGAATAATCT